GAGAGAGAGAGAGAGAGAGAGAGAGAGAGAGAGAGAGAGAGAGAGAGAGGTTATTTGTTGTGTTTCACTGCCCAGCATAGTAGATTTCTTAGTTTAAAAAAAAATCCAGGCCTGGATCTTTATGACAGTGGAAATGCTACCCCTACTTTCCCAAACTGCATCAAATGATTGAAGGGAGTGGGCATTTGACCCATCCTGATAATCCTGTCCAGGTTTTAGTGAAGGCCAAGGACACAAAGGTTCAGGAGTAGTAGACAAGCAGGCACCTCCCAAGGGAAGGTAAGCAGATACAGAACCAGCTTCTCTGCCATGGTGGTACCTGTGGTCTGCCTCCTTGGTCTCAGTTTACCCACTAAGCCACCTACCCAGTGTCATATTAACTTTCTATAAAGGCCCTTTCTTCCCTCCTGCACATTCTTAAAGTACTAATTTATACAGAGAAGGGACAGGCAAACCCGGTGCTGACAGATGGCTAAGGAAGGTATTTTATATTGGGTAGATCCTACGTCTATTGGGTCCATACTGTTTGGAACTGTGTGACAAAAACTTGGGAACAGGCATAGAAACACACTCGATTTGGGAATGGAAAGTGCCAACCTGCCGCATTTAATCCTGTGCTAATACTGAAAATAGAAATCCAAATGTCCCTCACACCTGCTCTGCATTTGCAAAGATATCAAAGGATATACGTTTGCACACAGGCTGTGTGCTGTGGGGCGGCTAGATCTGGAACTCACATCTAGAGCCCATCAGGAAACTGTTGGCAGGACAGCTTCTTTCCGGGTCCCCCCCCCATCTTTCAGTCTGTGGTGTAAATGTGGCCCAGTGATGAACCCCCACATTCAAAAGGAAAGTATACTTACTGCATGGGTGTCCTAAGACCTTAACTTCATCAATAGCAAGGTAGCCGTGGTGTCCAGAGGTTACCACTTCAAAAATCACCTGGAAAATGAGGTGAGATTAATGTCATTAACTCATTTTTATAAGATTTTTAGCAAGTAACTCCTATGAGGAATAAAGGTTCACTCACTCATCCTCCTTTTATTTTTCCCAGCAACTGTAAAGCAGTTAACGGCTAACACTTGTCCACCACTGTTCCAGGCTCTCAACCCCAAGTATGAGTAAGATTGAACCTGGTCTAGTCCAAGGAGGCTTAAGGGCAGAGGTAGGGCCACATAGCACCTGCCTGAGAGGTCATCTGTGCAGTGATGGGAAACCATGGCTGAGGACAGATACAGGGAAGAAAGGGTCAAGGAGTCATTTTAAAGGGTTGAGTAAAGTACCAAGGTCTTTAAAAGAATCAGAAAACGGAAATGATGCAAAGTAAACCATCACTCCAAAATAATAAAGTTCTCCTATCTGTGATACTCATCCCCCCACCCCATCCCCACATACTGTGATCTCTTGTTCGAGGGGCAGGGTTAAGATTGAAGCTTCTTTAGGAAACATTTCTGAAGGCCTCTGCCTAGAATGAGACATTTGGGATCCTAGGTTTTTACATTTAAGAGGAGGAGGGAGGGATGAGGGGGAGGACTCAGGAAGAGGTGGGATGAGGGGGGACGTGAGAGGAGAGATGAAGGGGAAGAGCTTGTTGTTGGAGAAGCTGTACTATTTGAGAATCTATGACAAATCCAGGGAACCATGGCAAAAAAAAAAAAAAAAAAAAAAAAAAAAAAAAAAAAAAAAAAAAAAAAAAACTTGAAATACAAGAACAGGGGAGGAGGAGAAAAGGAAGGAAAAAAGAGAAAGGAGGAAAGAGGGGAGGGAGAGAGGAGGGAAGGGAGAAAGCAAGGCCATTAGTTATACTTGAGGAAAGTGCAGGGTACTTATGATGGCTAATTGTGATGCCAATCTGACTGGACCAATGACTGGAGCATACCTTTACCTTGTGAGGGTTTCTGAGGGTGTTTCTTGAAAGGGATAAGTAATGGGGACATTGATGCTAAATGTGGTGGCACAATCTCACAGCCTGGGGTCCAGATGGAGAAGGGGGGAAGCAGGAAGCCTGAAAGGCAGGCACCCCTTCTCAGCTTCTGGGCCGCCAGAGTGGCAGCTGCTTTGTTCTACTTATCTTCCCCACAGTGGGCTGACAAGTGATGTCAGGAACCACGCTCGCCTTCCTTCTAGGTCTGTGCTGTCTGTGTTCATCATTGTTACCATGTAGGTAACAGTACCCAGCACTGGGTACCCAGGGCAGCAGCCCATCAGGAGTCGGTGTTAAGAGGCTGAAAGAGGAAAGTGAGCTAACACTGTAAAGAGGGTAATAAACATGCACAGGTAGGCATGATCATGACCGGGTCCTACAGGAACAAAGGTCAGTCATGTGCACAGGTAGGCATGATCATGACCGGGTCCTACAAGTGCAAAAGTCAGTCATGGCAGGGTTACAGAAGATTGCTTAGAGGACAGGAAATCCACTTCCCATTCACATGGAGATGGGATTAACTGAACTTTAGATGAAGATGTGGGAATTCAAAGGAGAATGATAAAAGTGTCTTCTGCAGTGTTTAAAAAAAAAGTTTTAAGTCACTGCTGGGTCCCGCAAGAAGTAGAGAATGAAGAAACTGGTGATATCAGCCTTTGGGAGTGAATGGCACATTTGAAAATGATTCATCCTTAGAGAAAACAAGACTGAAGGGGATGGGAGATGGTCAAGACTACCAGTTTGCTTATCCTAAGGAATTACCTGAAAGTATTAACACAACCCAGTAATTGTTCTCTTTTCATTCTAGAGAAATGAAAACTTTCATTCATATAAAAAGCGTGCACACAGTTACCAAAGCTCTATTCATAAAAACCAAAGAATACAGACACCTGAGAAGTCCTTTAGTTAATGAATGATTACACAGACTGGCCCAACATACCACAGACTACTACTCTGCAATGAAAAAGAACTAAATACTGTCATAATCAATAGCATGAATGAATCTTCAGGGAATTGTGCTGGATTAAAAAGTAAAAAGACAGTTCTAAAAGATTACACCCTACCTGATTCCATGAATGAATTATTCTGCATTGTCAAACTTTAGGAATAGAAGCCAGACTAATGGCTGCCAGGAGTAAGGGGCAGGGGAGAAGTGGAAGGAGGGGGTGGATGGTCTTTGAAAAGGGCAACTTAAGCCAACTCTGTCAGTTCCTACTATCACCATCTTCTTGGGTAACTGAATCATAAAGAATTAAGCATGTTGAGTTCCGGGAATCCAATTGATGAGAGCGAGGAGAGATACTGCAGGCGAGGGATGTCGAGATCATGATGGGAGGATGTGCAGAGATGACTGGCCACACTAGTGGAAGCCCATGAACTGTGCACTAGTGGATGTGGAGCCCCCATGGGACTGGACTAGGCCCTCTGGACATGGAAGATGGTAGTTTGGCTCGAACTGTTTGGGGGGCACCCAGGCAGGGGGATCGAGATCTGTCCCTGGTGCATGGGTAGGCTTCTGGGAATCCGGTGCCTGTGGTGTGACACTTTGCACAGCCTTGGTGCAGTGGGAAGGGGTTTGGACCTGCCTAGGCTCAGTGTGTTGGGCTCTGCTGACTCCCCATGGGAGTCCTTGATTTGGGGGATGTGGGGGTGTGGGGTGGCTTGGGAAAGAGGGCTGGGGTTGGGAGGAGGGACTAGGGGGGGTCTGTGGATAGCATGAGGAGTAGAAAATTTCTTAATAAAGAAAAAAAAGAATTAAGCATGTGAGTGCGTGCATGCGTGTGTGCGTGCATGTGTGCGTGTGTGTGTGTGTGTGTATGGATATGTGTATACATGCAGTGATATGCAAGTATTAGAAACTATGTGTAAGTCATAATAAGTACTGAACATTCCATCATGCCAATACCTAGCTGTGATATCTATCATACTGGAATTGGCAAATTATTCCCACTTGGGGAAACTGGGTGCCATGTCAATCTTCATTAGCTTTTACTATTGTGTGCCACACTGATCATAAAGCAGTTTAGTTTAAAAAGTAATTACGTAACTATTTACTAAGAACACATTACATGCACAATGCAAGTACCACTCCGCAAACATATCAGTTTATAGAAAGCACAATCCAAATATATTACATGAATTTTTAAATTAAAAAAAATAATAAAAGGGAAAATTTTTCCAAGAATTTCATATTTCAACAGAATGAGTAGTCTGGATATAACATATTTGTCTGAAGCATGCAGTGAGTCGCAGTAATCTTAATCTCCATCTGTTTCCAAATGTTCCCTCTCTTGTTCCTGCACACTGAGCAAAACCTTGGCTCCTAAGAGTACTTTAGTTTGTGTTTATGCAAAACCAGAAACAGCAACCCACCGACCCCCAGGTGGAAATACTGAAAGCGGGGGTCCACACTGCAAGCACAACACACCCAGAAACCTAGACTCACAGCTCTGCACCAGAAAGCCCTGATAATAAAACAACACACGTGTGGGAGAGAGGGGCCGCACAGAAGCGCAGAGATGAAATAAAACTCGGTCCTGTTCATAAGTTTAATATGTTGTTTTCCACTGGTGATCCTACAGAAAGGAAAAACTGCCTGGATGCTCCTATGTGGGACCAGGGTAATTTATTTCTTTACATCTAAGTTCTGCAAGAGGACAAATGAGGGGCAAAAAGATGAATGTCAAAAGCAGGTGTAAGAAAATAATTTTTGAGGCCCCCAAAGCAGGTCTGCCTAACAGTCACCAGCTGCAGCTCCAGAGGTGGCAGCAGGCTCTGCAAAGACCTGCCAGGTAGCTCAGTGAAGTGCCCACTGTGCACTCCAGCCAGGGAGGCAGGGAGGCTAATGGCACATCTTCACCTCTCCTTCAGCTCCTCCAAAAGCAATCCTCCAGTCTCACTCCCTGCTTTGTAGCACACCACATGTTGAGGTCTCTCCTCACTCTCTGCCCCCATTCCCAGGGGACTAAACAGATCCTGGTGGGACACTTGGCTTTCCTCTGTCTTGTGACCATGCCCGTCAGTCCCCCTACCTAGCCCACCCTCACTTCTAAGTGTCAGTTCCCAATACCTAGAACTACATTTCTATCTGTACCCCCAGTGGTCACAGCCAGAAGGATCCCAGAAGAATTTCCTACCCAGAAACACACAACCACCACACTTTCTTAAGAAGCAGAGAGGGCAACAGATACCAAGGCACAAAACACCCACCCAACAAGACAAGACCAGATACCAGCACCTAGAATTATAATCTTCCCAAACCCAGGTGTGTAGACACCAGTGTAAAAACACAATTACAGACAGGACAATATGCCTCCACTAGAGCCCAGAACCCTACCATAGCCCTGACCTACATCATAGAGTTCAAGTTAAATATTATGGATGTTTTAAAGATTCTTGATACACAATTCCAGGTTTCTATTTGTAAAGACTATATTTGTTTACATGATCACTGGGAATATATGAGAGAATATCTTATTCATCCATCAACGCATAATGTTTTAATTTTAATATAGTGTTATTACCTGAGCATATTTACACACTGTAGAGGAAGGAAAAGAAACAAACACAAAAGGCACAAAAACATTATCAACAAAATCATAGAAGAAAATATCCCTAACCTGAAGGAAATGCTTATCAAGACATAAGAAGCATACAGAGCACCAAACAGATTCGAACAGAAAAGGAAGTCCTCTTGACACATAATAATCAAAACACTCAACATACAGATAAACACTTGCAGCAAAGTAGCTGGATACAAAATTAACTCTCAGAAATCTGTAGCCCTCCACATATAAATGACAAATGGAATGAGAAGGAAATCAGGGAAACAACACTTTTCACAACAGCCTCAAACAATACAAAATATCTTGGGATAACTGCATCCACGTGAAAGACTTGTATGATAACTTTAAGACATTAAAGGAACTGAAGAAGACCTAGGATGGAAAGATCTCCCATGTTCATGGGTTGGCAGAATTAAATCTAGTAAAATCAGCTATTCTATCAAAAGCAATCT